CCTGGGTAAGTGAAGCTTGTTTATGATTTTGTCGAGTAAGTCATCAGGAGCTGAGTGGGAAGATGCCCACCCTTTCCCTCCCTTTATGACAAAGTCAAAAGCATTCCATGCTTTAATTTGAGAAAATGTCAGAAGCATTCCATGCCTTAAGATGACAAAATTGAGAATGTGACTATCGTGATCTGAAGTGTGACTAGCGGCGCGAAACGCAGGCCTTCTCATCTTCCCACTCAGCTCCTGATGACTTACTCGACAAAATCAGAAACAAGCTTCACTTACCCAGGTAAGATCGCATGTTTCTTTAATTAAAACATATTTTCTAACAATAGCATGTCTATCTACGGGCACTGACTCGTCCTGTGTGACTTTGGTCTGACAGTCAAATTTAACTAGTTTTCCTCTAACATAAAAAATGAACCCTGATGTGTGGCTGTGGAAAGGCTAGAACATCAACTATCAAAGCCATGTCTGGGTTTCAGCATTCGCTGATTTTATAAAGCGTGCAAGGCACAAATTATCAAAGAAAGCACAGAATAGTTAGACTCAAGGCAGAGCAAAAGTCTCGGGAAGAAATGAAAATTTGGAGCTTTTCGAGGGTTCAAATGGCATTTTCCGTTGCCTCTATTTAATTTGCCATCGAGCCATTGACAGTAGACTACACAAATTCGGGAACATTCATCTTGAGGACACACAAAGTCTGTACTCCTAATTTTCCTCCATTTACACATTCGATTGCCTAATGTTACAACCTCAGAACTTCATTTCTACTTATCTCTTATTTGAGCTTGTTTCTTGCACTGGTCTGCTACGTAAGAATCCTCACACTGACTCATTCTCTAGATCTAGATAGTTTGGACAACAATTCTTTCTGATACTGATTTTCTTTCAACATTCGCCATTCAGATTCCTTGATAAACGCACAGATTTTCCAGCTGCAGTAAAATCCCGGAAGTAGACAGAAAGAATGAGTGAATGAAAGAAAGGAGGAAGATAAGCAGTCAGAACTAGCAAGATTTTAGTCGATTTGCAAGTGAAAATGCTTTGCCGACCGACCCGCCCTAGATTCACAGAGGGACAATGGTCCACGGTAACAAAAGGACCAAATTATGCGCAATCTGGAAGGTTTCTTATACAAGTTATCGCGGAGAATTACCGTAAATATCAGAGACATTAGTGAGGCAAGTTCGGATTCTTTGCTACGGAATACCGATAAAACGATATATATATATATATATATATATATATATATATATATATATATATATATATATATATATATATATATATATCGAGGACTACTATACTCCTATATATATATATATATATATATATATATATATACTAGCTGGGCCCCCTTTCGATGTGCTTTAATATCAATTAAAAGTAATTGGCCTACTATATTTACACTCTACTGGAATGGGGCAATAAATCTTAAGAGATGCAAAAAATTAGGTCAAGATCTATACTCTCAAAGCAAAATGCACCTCAAGAAATATCACTTCCGGATAGCAAAATTCGGCCACCACAAATAGATAAAAGATATCTCTCTCTCTCTCTCTCTCTCTCTCTCTCTCTCTCTCTCTCTCTCTCTCTCTCTCTCTCTCTCTCTGTGTGTGTGTGTGTGTGTGTGTGTGTGTGTGTGTGTGTGTGTGTGTGTGTGTGTGTGTGTGTGTGTGTGTGTGTGTGTGTTCTTATACGTATGCAGTTGATATAATGAACCGGCAAGTACGGATCTTTCGGAATGTACGGGTTTCCGTTAAAACAGGGAAGATCGGAAGTGCAACAGAACTGAGTCCACCGCAAATCCGGTAGTTATGACATCTATATCGACATGGCGGTATGAGGTACAACAGGTCCATAATCGGTAACTACTGGAAAAATTGGTAGACTTAGACAGTCCTGCTTCAGAAGTAGTTTTCACTCTCATACTCAAAGTTTATCTCACGTTTATTTCCTGTGTTTTCCCTTACAGCTGCCATGTTGGGTGACATTATTCTGTAAAGAGTGATGGATAAACAGAGTGAAAGAGAAAGGGAGAGACAGAGAGAAAGAGAAGGAAAGGGAGAAAGAAAGAGAGTAAGGAAGAAAGAGGGAGAGAGAGAGAGAGAGAGAGAGAGAGAGAGAGAGAGAGAGAGAGAGAGAGAGAGAGAGGGGGGGGGGAGAGGTGTCTAGTGTGTTGCAATTATGTTGGATAATAAGCTAATGTGTGCACTTTGTTCCACACAGCGAGTTAAGCGAAAGCACGCTGCACATTTTGTCCAATGCTGGACCAATAAAGTACACATTAATTTATATCTCACAAGCTCATACTGTTAGTGCTAGGGACGTTTTGCGTTATTGTCTAAAATCTTAAATTAGTTCAGTGGTCTTTGGTGAACTTTTTGCATGCTATAAGATACTAGAAGTTGTAGTGTTGAAACGTATAGTCCTTGTGAAACCTGCAGTGTTACATTGGTCATTGTTCTGTGCCTTGCTTTCATTCATGAACATAGTCAGCTAACAATTATTCGTATAACAAAAGCCAGAGAGAACAAACACACCTTTCAAAAGAAATACGAAGCTTCTAGATGGGATCAGCATTAACAACAGCAATGATATTTTATTGTAACAAACAAGTATACCAGTGCACTGTACCCGAACACGAATACCTTTACCTTTGTAATGAACCACACGTCCACCGCTCTCGGAAGAAAAAACGATCCTTCGATTTTTACTCATCCATTTCAACAGATTACTTCGTATGCAACTAAAACAGACATTCGAATGACCTCAGACCGTACGTAACAGTTTTTCCTGCGAGCAGGTCAGAGCGGCGAGTCTTTGTTGGGTTTTTTTTATGTTGGAGGGTTTTACGGCGCTCGCAACTACATAAGGTCATATGAGCGCCAAGGGGTGGGTGTCAACAGAGAAGTC